ATTCTACTGCCTTCATATTTTTTTTACTCAACAAAGTTAGTATATAAAAAGGTATATATAGAGTTAAGTCAATAGAAAATAAAGCAAATTTTTTCTAAGTAAATTTTTTTGAAACTTTAACTAACAATAGCTTAGCAAAAACTTTATAAAATTAATAAAAATTTTTTTAAAATAAAATATTACAAATTGTAGAATTCATTTAAAAATTTTATTAAATTTGATAAAGCTTTTGTTAAATTATTGTTGTTTAAAGTTTCAAAAAAATTTTAATAAAAACAATTATTTGATTTCTGTTAACTCATCTTCATATACTCTTATAGATATTTATACAAACTTAGTTTCTACTATAGCTCTTCATCAAATTAGTCTTCTATGTTACTGAATATTTTATAAAACAGATCCTTTCAAATCTAGTTAGCTACTAAGCCAAGTTAGTATTGTTATTTCTTTGTATAATAGGTTTATTTATATCTGCTTAATCTGTATTTTTTATATACAGACTTCTTTTTTAGATCAAATAATAACTAGTGTAACTGTTAAAATTTGTACTACTTTATCTAATTTGAAATTTTTACTATACAAGTTCTCTGCCTATAGATTCTATTAAAATTTATTCATGCAATATTATGTCATACTTCTAATATCTAATTAATATTAGTATAACATGATTTACAAAGCAAATCTGTTCTTAATTTAAATATAAACTAAAAGATATAAATAATTTTAATAGAATATATAAGTAAGAATCTATATAGTAAAAATCTTAAGTTAATAAAATAATATAATTTTTGAATAAGTTATACTAATTAATATCTAATTCAAAAAAAAACTTTGTTTAATAAAGTAAAAATTTTTAAAATTACTAAACAAAAATAACTAATAACTAGTTAAATACTAAAAAAGATTAAATTAACTAACTAGTAAAAAATTATTAAGTTATATAAATACTTAAAGTTTTAAACTAAATAAATTTATAAAATAAATACAGACTATTCTGATAAAAATAATTTCTAAAAGCTTTATATATTTATAGAATTTTGTTAAATATCATAGGTTGTAATATCATAGTCTAATATGACTAACTAATTAGATTACAAAATCTTCTATAACAAAACTGAACAAAAATTAGAAAAAAATTAAAAATTTTAAATATCTTAAAATTTTATTATATAAACTAGTCTTAGACTTCTAATTAAAAGTTTTTAGCTCTTAATTTTGCATATATATATTGTAAGTGGATTCAGAATTCTGTAAATTCTGAATTCACTTAAATGAATACTGAATTCACTTAATTTGATTTGGAATCTTAAATCAATATGAGTGGAAACAGAATGTTAAAAACTATCGATTAAAATTTAGTTACTAAAAATAATTTATTAAAAAAATATAAACTAAATAAAAATTATATATTTTATTTTTATATTTTATACTATATATCGATAACAACTACTTCTACCTAGTATACAGAACATTTATATTTACAATTATTATTTTTGTACATGCTTTTACAATTACAGTATACTCCTGTTACAGTTGAAATTAATTGCATTCTTGCTAATAACTTTATTTTCACAAATTTTAAGCTCTTTATACTTAGTTGAAAATCAGAAATAAAGTTATATTATTTCTCAATCTAAAAAAAATTTAATTAGAGTTGCATTGCTGAAGGTATATATTAGGTTTAGCAAAAATATGAATCTATTTTTTCTAAACTAAAAAAAAAAAAACTATAATATTCTACACTTTAGATATTCCAACATGTTTTAAACTGCCTATATAAAACTTATATATTATAAAAGCAGTTATAGTATGTATTGATTCTGATATATTTTCATTCTTCATAACAGTAATAATTTGAGTAATTAGATTTGTTTCGATTTCTAATTCTCAAAGTTGAAAAGAAGTTTTAATCCAATGTTGATCCTTAGAGATTCCAAATTTACATATTAGGTTCTTCTAGCATCGATATTTTGAATAAAAAAGAAAAAGATAAAATAATTATTAATCAAATATATTTTAAATTATGTATAATCATTAATTAATATTAAATTCTATCACCACATGAGTCATTTTAAGATCCGATTTCCACTTAAGTGGATTCGGAATCTACAGAATTCCGAATCCACTTACAACATATATATACCTAATTTGAGTGGTTCGATTTTTTTTTAGTAGGTACTATAGATTTTTTGCAACTGCAGATGATTTGTCGTAAATCTCCTGCACAATATAGGTATTTCCTATACCCAAAACAAGTTCCATGATACTTGAATTTTGTATTTAATGTATTTGCCATAGAATATTATTAATATGTGAAAAAAGAAAATATTTTATTGCTTTTAGAATTTTTTTATTTTTATAGTTTATTTTAGATTTCCGATTCCCAGATTTTATGTGGTGAGATAAGCATAAAATTTGGAAGACACAGTAATTTGAAAAGCACGATAAGATAAATATAAGAACTTGTTAACAAACTATAACTGGCTAAGCCGATTTTTAAATATTGACTTAGTTAAATTAATAAATAACAAGTACTCTTGCTAATTCTATTAATAAGTGTGATTTAATTTTGAAAAAATTACCACATTGACGTTTTGATGGATAGCTACTGTTCTTAACATAAACATATTTTTTAGCTTGAACTTATAGTATCTGAGAAATATATGTTAATACTTCTTTTTCGATTTCCAGTCCAACGGACAAATTTCCGGTTGTGACTATTCCAAACATTATTGGTACAAAATCTGTTTGGTCATGTTTGCATTTACCCAATAGTTCTACTTAGGGACCTGCACGGGCCTAAAAATTTAAGCTTTTGCCGGCCGCAAAATAAAAATTTATTATGGTTTTTAAAAGTTCATCCCGCTTTTTACTATGTTTTTATACTATGTTTTTACCTTATAATGATTCCTGACGAATGACGAATTATTCGTCATTGACGTCTGACGTAACCATTCGTCAAGCAATTTCTGATTGACGATTGACGAAACCTATGACAATTGACGAAACTTATGACGATTGATAAAGCATAAGACAATTATTCTTTCTTTCATTAAAGGAATAAATTAGTCAATGCGGAATTAGATATTTATGTTTGTATTATCATATCCACCCATTTTCCATTTTTTTTAGTCATGTGAAATTAGAACAATAAATTTCATTGGTCAAAAAAAATTGATGTTCATGATGTTACACGAAACTGATGTACATAAATCATTTTCCTTTTTTTAATGACACGCATACCCGATATTACCCGAAGAAGACATTAATCACCCGGAGGTATACGACGAGTCTGACTAAGAAAACTACTGAGATTAAAAAATATTTATTAACCAGTAACGGCTTTAAATTCCACATAATATGGAAATAAAAATTAACATCCGTATAGCCTATTAACTGTTAATTTTTGCAGAGCAATTTTTTTTTTATAACAACTGATGATTGGAAGAAAAAAAGTTCATTACCGCTTTTATATGAACTGGTGGAACTTTATAATGAAATAACGGTAATTTGAAAAAAAACCTAAGCTCCGGCATATCAAGAGGTGGCTATAAAGAAGCTCGTTGTAAAATAGTTAATGGGTAGTCCGCAGTTAAAGGGTATAAATTTCATAGTAAAAATCGGCTGGCATTTACTAATACTTTTTATATAGAAATGGAATCTGAAAAATTTTGCAATAGTAAAAATCGTATAGTAAAAAAATAAAAATAAAAATAAAAAAATAGTAATATCTCTGGATCTACTGAACCGTTTTTGATGATTTTAGCATTAGAACGAGAATTATCGTCTCTAACTCTTTCAAAAAAAATATTTACTTAGTAAAAAAAATAGTTTCATAAGTAAGCGAGCTGGATTCCTGCATTATAGAAAAAACTATATTAAGTTCCGTCGTATTTTACTATGAAATTTGCTATTTTTTATACCATTCAGAGCCGAACTACCTCTTAATGTATTTTGATATTTCATTGGTCAAATTGATTCGTCAACGGTTTCGTCAATCGCCAAGAATCTCATCAATCGTCAACGTTTCGTCCGACATCGCATCTGACGAAATGTTTCGTCAGGAATCATTAGAGAAGTTCCTAATTTTCTTTTCTAGTATATTTATTAGGTTGATTTGGACCTTATCTACCCAAATACAGTGGATAATAGAGCAACAACACTTCAATGCCAACTTCGACTATCCCAACCACTTTACGAATTCTCATAAACTAGGTAAGTACGTTCTTTTATTTTTATTGTTATCGCTTACGAGGAAAAAGCCTAACATTTTTACTACAATAAACTACAAATTAATTACATAACGACCAAGATCCGTTACATGAACTCCAACGATCGAAATCCATTAAAACTCAGTCACTATATTTTGAATCAACATTTCGGTATCCAATTATTGAACCTAATTTAGGTTCAATTCCAGTTATTAATCCTAAAATTTGGATCAATTGAATCAGTAACTAGACATTTCTAAGGCTTGAAAGGTTTCTACCTCGTTCCCTTCAGCTCTTACATATTAATACCAAGTATAGAAGATTGGAATATATGCTTTATCTTCAAAATAAAACTGTACTATTTAAAATTCAGTCTGAACTTTGTCTAAACTAGTGATGGGACCCAAATACTTTCGGCACTGATTGGCAGTTTTCGGTCGGGATTTGGGCTTTTGCCGAAACCCAAATGTAATCCCAAATCCCAAATATAATCTCAATCCCAAATGTAATCCCAAATCCCAAACATATTCACAAAATCCAAATATAATGACAGTTTAAATCTAATAACATTTTTACTGTAATAAATATAATGATACTTTTAATAATATAATGATACTTTTAATAAAATATAACGATGTATTTTGACTACTTAAATAATAAATAAATCGATGTCTTTTAATAAATATAATGATGTATTTTGACTACTTATTATTAATAATAAATAAATCGATGTCTTTTTTTTTAAATAATAAAGAAATTTTCAAAATTTAAAATATTTTGTATCATCAAATGGGTTCTGAAGATATTATGGAACCTTCAACAAGCGATACTACGGATAATCAGCAAGTATTATATCGAAAAAAAGTGACGTTCAAAAGCTGTGGTATGGAGTATTTTACGAAGGGTTCAGCTGCTGATAAATATGGACATTATAGTGCAACTTGTGTATGTTGTGGACAGAGTTGGTTAAGAGGCAAACCAAAAGTAATGGAAAGCCATCTTGCATTACATTGTGAGAAAGTTTCTGATTATGTTAGTAATACGTCATGAAAATTTACATTGTTGTGTAGATAACATTGTAAAAGAAGCTTTAGAAGCTTTAAAGCAATATATAATTTAATGTAGTATACTGTATAAACTATGTAAATACTGCAAATAATTAATAATATAAAAAATTGATGCTTTTGATAAACTTGCAAACATTATCGTTATTAAAGATGGGCAAATTTATTATCGTTATGTATTCTTATTTAGTTATCTAATTTTTTGACCATAAATAAGTCATACTATTTTTAACGACAAAAATTAACATGTTTATTTAATCTCAGCTTTAATTAATCATTTATTACCGTTATCATCATGTGATAGTAATAGGTAAGAATTTGCTTAACATTAGTAATATTACTTAATATTAGCTAAACGATATAAAATAAGTATTGATTGCTTAATAAATTACTTTGCCCATTAATTTAAACTCCTATTACTGTTACATGAACAAAAATCTGCCATTTTTCAGTGATGATTTACTACACGTCATTAATATGATCTATATAAGTGTTACGGCAAATCCCAAACTATTTTGGGTCCCATCACTAGTCTGAACCCAATCCGAACTGGATTCTTAAAATTCGGTTAAATTCATAGTTAGAAAGAATCAAAATGAAATTATTTGAATATATCTATTCAATAGATATCATCTTGATAATTCATGAAAATATGTAAACTACAAATGCAAATTTATTCCGCAAGTGATAATTTATATCTACATTGGTGTTAATATTTAAGTGAAAGAAATGATTGATACCTGTGAATATTATAATATTGATAAATAGCTTTACTGTAAGGGAACTGTTGATCACGTTGCACAATGCACGTGTCGTACCACGAACGTTCATTCAACAAACGTGTCGGAGATGCATAAACGAACGTATATCACGTGAACGTGATGTAAGGTCAGAATCGCGTTAGCATTGGTCATTAGAAGTCGTAACAACCATACATTCGAGGTGTAGTCATAGTTAAGCAATTGTATTGTAATATGCGATATAAATATGTAAAAGAGAGAAAGCTAATTAGGCTTTCACTTGCAATCTTTAATAAAGAAATAAAAACCTAATTTTTGCTTAGTTTTCATACAAAGATCGTTCAAAACCTATCTACCCTTAATAGATACGGTTACATTTACCGTTCAATTCAAGATAATAATTATAGCATTTTTTTTATAAAGTCTCAATAATTTGACTCAAAGAATATAATTTCTTTATTATCAAATTAAAGAATTAAAAATACCGTAGGAATGATATTTTTGTTAGTTATACTGTATAAATAATATACTAAACTTTAGATTCTTTAATTTTTGTCTTCTTGAAATTAAATATATTACTACTAATCGTTGGTTCATGTACCATATATTTACTATTTTTTTTTTTTGAAGAAATGTAATAAAAGGGGGTTATCTACTATACAATGTATTGCAATTAACTATATCCAACCATCTATAAATATTTGTATGTTAAAATAATAGAAAGTATATGTTATTAAAACTAGAGGTGCGGACATTTATCAGGTCAAGAGTAGCTACCCTTCTACGTCATATATAATTTGGGTAGCACAACGAAAATGTGTACAAGGTTGTACTCCGGACGATCACGTGATAGTCCGATCGACCACTTCGGAACGCAAAATAAAACTTTAACTTTATTAATCGTTATTGTCGTTATTGTTTAATAATTAACGTAAATATAATAAATTTAAAATACATATTTATTTAATTATTTAGTGCTCATTTAATAATTAATCTAAAACAGCTAATTTTGCTTATTCTCGGTAATATTTCTTGATAAATTAT